CCTCGCGCTTTAGCGTTTACAGGTCCACATACTTCCTACACCATGTTCGTCAGTGTTAATTTGTAGAACACACAGGAGCCTAGTTACTCTCTACATATCTATAGTCAGCTCCAGCTTACGTCTGCTAGCGTTACAGACATACCTTAAACGAACTACTGTTCCACTGATCGTCGAACATTGCGATAGTTCTATCCGGGATTGCAAAATCAGTGTGAACTCACTCAGACGTTGACCTAGGCTGTGGAGTAGCGGGGTAAGTAAGTTAGATCCGCTGCTGCCTAAACCAAAGACAGCGGGGCAGCTGGTGACTAAATCGCTAGGTAACTGCGTGCAGCTTAAAGTGGGACCAAAGACCAGAGGCACGTGGCCGTCGTGGATGCTTCTAGAACCCAGCCAGCCTGCGCCACAGCTCCAGAGACATCTGAGCACGCTACTGCATGCCAAGAGTAGCCAGAGCTCTGTGCCTTGTCAGACGACTTTTGGCTGTCTTGCTGTCTTGCGGAGAAACAGCCGGGATGCACATTCTCTATCTCACATTAACACTTGAAGCCTACCATCTTAATCGTCAAGATCTCGTCTTCCTTCTTACACTTTTGAACACTGACCAGAGATACGCTGTCGTATGTGAACAGGGGGGTACTCGTAAGGGGTTGGTAGACGCCATCAATAGAACGATCAACAGCACGTCCGACAGCGCGCTCTCCCTGCTCGGAGGCTAATGTACTCAAAGAATAACATATATAGGTCAAAGTGCTTTAAGTTTGACTTCATGCAGTCGTGCTGGCCTGATGCCGAAGGGCCGGATGAAAAGGTGTCCCATTACACAGGGTGTCCCGCCACGCAGGGATGGACGTTATTTCACTTCCTTATTCATAACAGCGTAACTTCATTATTATCATTTCATTATAGTCTATGTAGCTTATAGCGATGTAAGACTTTGGCTAGACAGTGCGACTTTAATACGGTTAGGCATCGGACAATTGCAAAATTCGCATCTATCTTGCCAACATAATCTATTATTCAGTCATCGGGGCTTTCCCATTTGCTTCCACTATTATCGCGATTTTTGTGATTACGATTGTGAATTAACTAACTACTATCCCTCCATGTGTGGCGGAAAACCCTGCGTGGCGGCATGCCAGTAGTGATTCCACCATAACAAATTCAACCACAGCTAAAATAGGCACAAAATCTCGGAATAAAGACATCGACCCTAGACCTATCTCTGTGTTTTGTCTCGTCGCTAACAAACTTCTGTGTAGCTGGCAATACGACAATTTGCTGCTAGCATGCACGGCAGCCCTATCTCGGACGGTCTCGGACGCGCCAAAGGTTTAACCTATGCATCTAAGAATTTGTCAAGTTATACAAAGATGCATAGAGAGTTGATTCCGAGCGAGATGCTACGGTGTTCTACGTCGTGGTGCTATTGCGCACGTCTATTGCTCTACAGAGCAGGATTGACAACTAAGGCGCGCTAATTACAAACCGTACAGAATTATCGCACGGGGCTTAGCGGTATTCTACCCGCACGGATACTAGACTCTTGTCACGTGACTATTGTTTCAATGGAGCCATCTGACTAGCGGCTAAGGCTAAGCATGACTCGCTTGTGCTTAACTACATGCTTAAACACCGCACTAGACTCCACGCATGGCTATCTTAGAAGAGGATAGTAGTGGTAGTTAGCATAGGTAGAGGCTTATATATAGTCCTGCAGCAGTGTCGGAATTAGCTTAGAGTTAGTAGTGTAGATATAACGTCTATGCACTTGTAACAGAATGACTACGCTCTGCTAGAAACTAAGAAACGCTACACGCCCTGAATAGCACCCTAGACACACTGT